TTGCAATGCGTGAGCTGACGTCAGTTTCTATGCGCCTATCGTTGCTGATGCAGCTGCCAAGATAAGTGAATTGATCAACCACCTCGAGTTCCTCGTTAGCAAGCGTCAAGGGGTCACACAGTGGCTGGTGGTCCTGCAGCAACACTTTGCACTTTGTAAGTGCGAAATGCATACCAAATAATGGGGCCACTGGACAGGCTATTCAGGGTTGATTGTGCCGTCGCAATATGGTCTAAAAGCAAGGTGATATCGTCCGCATAATCAAGAACAACTAAGCTGTCACGAGGCAGCACTTCAACGCCTACATCGTGAGATTCCCCATGGGAACACTCCATGATAGAATCCACGATGAAATTGAACAGAAATGGGGGAATCGGACAACCCTGACGAACGCCACTTGTGGTCGGAAAGCTATTCGATAAGACACCGTAGACCCTGACGCGGCCTGTAGTGTTCGAGTGTAGAGCACGAAGGATGTTCACATATTTCGTGGGAATACATTACCTCGCAAGTATTTCGAAGAGAATCGATCGATCGACTGAATTGAACGCACTCTTGAACTCGAGGAACACAGCTATTATTGGTCTGCGGTATGCGTGGCGTTGCTCTAGCATCTGCCGCAAGGTGAATATATGGTCTATACAGCCACGTCTTGGACGGAAACCGGACTGCTCTTCCCTAATTCGAGATTCCCGTTCCTCAGTGAGGCGACGAACGAGAATCGAGGTTAGTAATTTTGTCACAACTGGTGTTTGGCTAATACCCTTGTGGTTAGAGCAGTTTGTGCGACTGCCCTTCTTGTATATTGCCACTACAATCGATTCGCTCCAATTAGCCGGGACACTCTTCCTTCCAGATACGTTCGCATAGGGAGATCAGTGGTTTGCAGAGGACTTCATCTCCATCCTTAAATAGTGCAGGTGGGAGGGAATCCGGGCCAGTGGCACGAAAACGATTGAGTGCTGTGATCGCGTTTCGGACCTCGGCCTCCGACGGAGGCTCTAAACTAACCGTCCATGGCTCGTCCTGCATCACCTGCGTCGGAAGAGGTCCGGGAGCAAGGGGCCAGCTGAACTGATCTTGGAAGTGTTCCGTCCAACGAGCCATACGGTGCTCCTTATTGTGTATCAGCGTACCCACACTGTGATTGTCTCACTGATGCATGATTTTCTGGGACCAGTGGTGCGGGTTAGCTGGAAGAGCTTGCGGTAATTGCCCACTGCTCCTGCCTCTTCCATTTCTTTAGCCCGACTGGTCCATCAGGCTTCCTTGTTGGCACGTAGGCTCTGCTTTACTTCACGCCTAATAGCCCGTCTGGTCACATTGTGTTCAGAGCCAGCCGGGAGGGGTTTTCTAGATTCCAACAGGTTCACCGACCTCTAGGATATCCAGTGACGGGTGCGGTGACGATTGATAGTGCCACAAGCAGATGCTCCTGCGTTGTGCATGGCGGCCGAGATGCTATTCCACTGAAGCTTAGAGTCATTAGGGCAAGACAGTTCGGTATACAGTACGTCTTGATAGGCTTGCCTGACCGAGGGCTGAGACAATTTCTCAGTTGCTAATCGGATGAGACGCTTGGTGCGCCTGCAGGTAAAGTTTACGGAGCAACGACAGGGTAACAGGACATGATCAGAGTCGACATAGGTACTCCAGTACAAGCATCAATCCAGGGTGGAATCACGCCATCTGTAACTTATGGTTATGTGATCAGTTGGGGTCCATCGCTGACCAACTACTGGGGGATTCCAAGCGGCACTTCGTCGCCCACTGTGTCTATAAAGCAGTGCTACTAAGAAGCAACTGGTGCTCCGCACACAGTTGGAAGAGACGCTCACGGCTGACGGCATTAGAACTGCAGTCGGCGCTAGCATAAACAAACATCGTTTCGTACTACTTTGTGAATCCACTTTAGCTGATGTCGTCAAACGGGCTGCACATAAACGGCTGTTCACCGGAATTCAATCAACCAACGATGGCTCAGCCTTGGAACTTAGAATGATACCTACACCAGCTTGACCCATGATTGCTGCATCGGCGTCTCCGGATGCATGCAACCAATAACGAGGATAAGCCGGGTGCAGTTAATTCAGTAACCCCGTTAGGGTCATTGATCCTAGTTTCGAAAACACAACACACATCAATACCCGGCGTGTCCAAGGTGCGTGTGAGTGCAGCCTGTTGACTTATTTGCTTTAGAGTGCGAACGTTGAATATCACCATCTAAACGGGACAGCGTGGCCTTATAAGGGACTTGCCGATAGGCATCCGATAGGTGCGGTGCGATGGTGGCTGGAGATGGTTCTACTCCAGTGGCACCTCGGTTGCTGTCAATTAAGCTGGGAATTATAGACGGAAGATTAGGAATGGGGGTCGGGATGGGAGTAAGAGAAAAAGGTGGAAAAGAAAGAAGGGAGGCGTCAGCAGTAGCATGTTTTCTCTTATCTACCATGCTGTATGCAACAGATAAGGCGACCGTTGATAATCTGCGCAACGGCCGATGCAGGATGAAGTTTATGATTGAAGAAAATGTCATGGTTGTATGTGGGCTGAGATACTGCCAGGGCGCTCAGACCTAGACAGGACGATTAGGGTCCTCATTCAAAGCCTTTGGGTCAAAAGCCTGTGCACAAGACACCGGGGAGGTGGCAATGGTTTAGTTTTACAGAAATGGACGCCATTTCAGGACCAGGACTGAGGAGGACCAGGAGACTGAGTTTGTCTGACCTCTCACCATTGGCTAATCTGGTAGGAGTAGCTCTCAAGGTGCCCGAAAGTATCACCCAGTATAGCTCAATGGGTCAATGAGGTACGCAAACCGTCGCACCGCGTTAATGTCCAATCTCGTTGCGACGGCCAGTGAACATGTCACTGATGATGGCTAATAATTCCGCATCGTCAACTTACCCTGAGTCTAACATCTGTGCAAACTGAAGCTGATGTTGTCAACCCACATCTCATTGAACAATCAGGGCTGAATGACTTGTTACGTGACCTGTGCTTGCCTAAAGACAAGGCCGAGTTGCTGGCGTCTCGGCTACAGCAGTGGCACTTGCTGCAAACAGTAAGGCTACTGTATACAGAAAGTGAAGTGTTAAATTGTCCGGTTGCTATAACACGATGGAAACCTTTTGTTACTGTTCCGACGTGGAAGGACTGATGGAGGGGCTTGGCGTGAGGCATATCAGCGATAAATGGCGTTTGCTCATTGGCTCATCAGTGCTGCTCGACAGTAGAAATGTGTACCCTTCTGTGCCTCTATTGCAAGCGTTCAATATGAAGGAAACTTACGAAAGTATGCAACAAACACTCGCTGCACTGATCTACGATAAGTACTGTTGGAACATCTGTGCTGACTTCAGTCATTGAACCCCTAATGGGTATGCAAACGATGATTCACTAAATATTGCTGTTTCTTTTGCTTATGAAACAGTATAGCAGCCTAACAGCACTACACAACCGAATATTGATCAGAGAGAATGGATTGTGTTGCAGAGAAAATGAGTGTAAAACATACACTTGTGCAAACTGATCAAATCCATGTACCACCCCTGCACATCAAGCTTAGTTTGATTAACAACTTCGTCAAAGTCCTCAAGCGAGATGGTTTTGCCTTCCAGTACCTGAAATAAGTGTTTCCCAAGATCAGTGATGCGCAGCTCAAAGAATTTATGCTTACTGCTTATTGCTATTTGCCGCACAGACAAGGCAGACAGTGCTTTCGAATACCAGTTGACTTCATTTGAGTTAGAAGCGTGCCGATCATCCAAGACAGTGTGTACAGTATATTTTTGCAGGACAAAGGCAGAGTACTGCAGAGACATCACAAAAAACTCTCATATGGGACTCGAGCTGTTGGTGCTCGAACGTCACTCATGGTGCACTTTTTGCATAAACACTTTGACTTTTTCCTTGAGAACTTGGAATCTGTTAGCAATGAGCATGGTGAGCGCCTTCACCAAGTCATTTCAGTTATGAAGTAACGCTACAGTGGCAAGTACACGCCTTCTATGATGGGTGGCTAGCTGGTTTCTGCAGCGTGAATGCGCTTGACCATACAAATGACGATCTCGGCGAAGTCATCATTTCCCAGTGCCAAGCTGCAGTCAGTATTTAGTGGCGAGTGCTGCGTTTGCCACGCATTTGCCACATATTTGCATTCTGTATATGTTGTGATTCAGTGCATCTACTTCGTAAAATGTAGCCTTGACATGACAGAAAATAATCATTTACTTATAACAATGTAAATTAACGTGTTAGATAACATCGCAGTATATTTCTACGATCAGCGGAGTGTGTTATATAAGTTAGGGACATTGGCATTTCTGTTGTAGAAAATTTTTTTGCATAGTGTAATCGGACAGGTTTGATGTCGTCTCTAACTTCTGAGAGAATTACACCTACTTCTGAAGTCGCACATTATGTTTCGCGTATGAACAAACCGACGGGGTGTCAGGTAGTTCGTCCATCAGTGAGGGAGCAACAAGCTCATATATATATATATATATATATATATATATATATATATATATATATATATATATATAACCAAAATGATATTCTTCGTTTTAGCTACCCTCGAGATTTACCTCATCAGGTGACGCACCGAGGTGAACTACCGAGTAACTGCTAAACTTAATCTGCATTAGTATATATCGCTCCGTATTCTTTGCTCTCGTGGACTTGGAAGTCAGTTGCACTCGGCTTTAACACTGAGAGCAATGCTTTCACTCGCACAGCTATAGACACTTTCCGGTGGTCGGAATGGCACGTTGCTGCTCGAGACCTGGCCGGTATCACAGTGTGCAGGCTACTGAGAAACTGCGAGCATCAACATTGCTGTCGCCTGGATTTGTACACCTGGCACCTGGCAGGTCTTTCGAAATAAGTGTAAACCCATGTGTCGTTTTGCCATGCTCAAGGTAGTCCAACGCGTTAGTTCCGCATTCGTTCCACCGATGTTGTAGACTGTTTCTGGTACTCTTTTTTATTTCCCACAGTGTGCTGTAGGCTGGGACCACGTGGAGAACGTGGAGAAACATCCATCTCAGAAGGACTACGCTATCGGATTTGGCGGAAAATATGGCGTTCAAGAAGACAGGCAAGACAAAGTAAAAATACCTTTTGACATGAAATCTTCATCTTCGGGCTATTGCATGTGTGTATTTCGTTTTTACAATCGGAATACCTTGATATTGGAAGCATTTCATGCGGGACCTCTCAACCGCATTGCGTCCGTATGATCTGGTCTGTCTTACAGATTGGCCACTACTTGAACGCTTCGTTGTTGCTCCTGATATCAAGTGCATTTTGCGTACATTGGCGACAGATCCCAATCTGTTATATGGTTTACTTCCCTCACACTTATGCGACATATTTTCTGTATACAGATAGATTTATGTTTTATCATTATTCTTGGACCTTCCGTCATCCGCTGTAAGTGTCGTTCCTTCATCGACCCCCTATCTGCTCTTTATTTCTAACCCACCAGTAATTGGAATGGCAAACTATGGCCCCAATCCATAAACACAACGCATAATCCAATACCCAATAATGGACACATTAGAATTAGTTCTTCAGATGCGCATACGCGGGCTGTGCCCTTTGGTGCGAAGCACAATGAACTTCGTCGGTCTATCTCTCGATAGCTGAAGTCAAGCCTCCGCTCTGAGTGTGAATCCTGGTGGTCAAAACGAGCTGCTGAGATAGAAGCCGTTGCATCGGCTTAAAACTTCCACAGTTTATTTTATCTCATCAAGACCAGTGGTTGCAATTCACATGATGTCAGTCAGATGGCACGAAGATCACCAACCTGCACAGGCGCTTAGGTCGCTGAGTAGAGCACTTTGCTTTCCAATTTAACTGCTCAGCACAGCCCACTGGGACACCTCCGTTTCTCTCGGATGGGGCTTGGCCTATCGCCACAGAGATCCGAAGCGCAAACCAATCTTTGAAGCGTCATAATGCTCCTGGTCCTTACAGCCTACCCCAGTCTCTATTCAGAGATGGCGGGAATGCATTTGTCAACGAAATGCTATCACTGTTCAAGATAATTTGGATTGGGGCGAAATTCCCAATTGTATAAGGAAAATCGGTCATTGTCTTGATTCACGAGAAAGGGTCCCGCGAGGATTTCATCAATTAGCGCGGAATTTCTTTGATCTTTGTTGCCTCCAGGATTTTCATGTCTGTTCTATTCCGCAGGCTTTCAGCGACTAGAGAAGATGTTTCCCGAGAGGAATAAGCGGGTTTTCGTCTGCGTCGAGGTTGCATTGACCACAGCTCCACACTCCGCCAACTTCTTGAACTCCGTCACGTCCACCGACGACCAACAACCGTAGTGTTCTTGGACATCCGATCGGCTTTTGATTCAGTAGCTAGATCTGCGCCGCGGAACGCTAGCGCACTTTACTATGCTAACGCACCTTGGGGTGGTTTGTGGCACAACTCAATATCGATGGCCGATTTTGTTGTTCAGTCCACACTTTGATGAAGCGGTCAAGCTAAGCCATATTACTTCAATTAAATCCTACCTGATGCTTTCGTCAATTCGCCCGCTGTGTAGGGAACAATGGGGTGCGTCTGGAATGGATATTACTGCACAAGAGCCAGTAACATGAAAGGAGCGTATCACCGATGGACCAGACCAACATTTGCATAGAAAGAGAGCTCCCGGCAACCGCAGGTGTCAGCGTACCAGTAAGATGCGTTGAAGCAGCTGTTGTCGATGGCTGCGAGAAAGAGCGCGCACTTCGCAGCCTCCAGGAAGATGTTCACAAATTATTGAAGCTGTAGGCGGCTGAATCTGGTGTATATGATGTATGCTCGTTACCCCAATAAGAAACGCGATGGGACTAAGCTGTAGTTAACCTTCATGTTCCTTCCTCAGTCTGCTTGGTTGTGCAACATTGTGAAGTACTTGGTTACTAACCCACTATCGCTGCAACTCAGAATGGAACGCTTTTTGTAATCACCTAAGGTAACTCATGGGGCTTGTAGGATCTCAGAGACCAGATTTTCCGCTCGGGTTCTGAGATCGAGTTAGGTTTCCGTAAGACCGGAATAAGCTAGAAGGCTATTTCCAGCAGCTGATACCTGCTGACACCTCTCGAAAATGTCCTGGCCACGTCATTGACAGGAATTCTCTTATTGTCTACTTACAAATGGTATGATCTCATGATGCTGAAATCGGTATTACAGTTTGACCTAACGATACAAGTCATTCTAGAGATCTGGACTGAGTTCCGTAACAGGCTGTCGACAGAAATTCGTTTGAAAACGGAAGGCCTACTACCACAGTCTATTGGCTACTCAACGGGGTTACATACAGTGAGAATACTCATTATATAGTCCAATGTATCAACTGAAGAAACAGTCCAAAACACCCAGACACAGCACAGTGTTTGTGTCCATCAAAATCATCAGAATCCAGGATGCCCGACACAGCAACGTATCCTGACTCTATCTCCAGAGCCGGCAACACCTCAGAAAAGCGAATAATAGTCGGTCTCAAGAGCGTAAGCTAAGCCTCATACCTGCTGTCCATACCTTAAACTATTTTTACGCACAACTTTTTTTTATGCAAGCGCTCAACACCTCAGCAAACTGATCGAGCTCCGGCTGTGTCATCTGGACGTTTTGTGACATCATCGTAGCCGAAATATACCTGAGTGAAATGTTCACTGCCACCGAAATCGTGCTACCGGTAATGTCTATCTTACTCAAGGATCCACCCGGTAGATGCGGTATCGTACTACTTCACTACCACTGAGAACTTCACTATGATCCTACCGAAGTCCCGGAAGTCCAGATTCTCTACGAGCTTCGGCACGATAACACATGTTTGCTGTGTCGTCTACCACCCACCGTCGTCAACTTTAAAAATGGTCCATCGCCTAATTTCCTGTCAGAACACTGTTCTCGCATACATTCCTGGTAAGCAACTTCATTCTCCATCATTAGCAACCCTAATCTCTCAACAGACACCTCAGCGTGGAGTTCCATGAGCTATTCGCTCGTTTACTGCTTTACAACCATCTTACTTATTCTACAAATTCAGAACGAATAACACATCGGTTGTTTCAACCATCTTGTACACAAACGTAGAACTTAGGATCAAATCGGTTTCGAGGACGTACAACCTTCGCAACTCTCCAAGCCTCTTTGACTGCAACCACGTTGCCAGCACTTGATTGCCTTTCTGTTTAGTTGTTCACAATCTCGTTTACTCTAACCTCTGACTCCGAACGTCTAAGTGGATAACCCACACTAGCAGAGCACTCCAAGTTACCACACACCCCGAATAATCACTTGATCCCAATTTGGCATCAGCAACTCGCGAGTATGCGATTCTGACGCTTCAGTGCCATTCGACCGCCACCAGTCTTGTTCTGGCCAATGATACTGCAAGATTACCGGCGTCCACGCAGATTAGAACCGGTGACCTTTGAATGACAATACAGACGCTGAGGCGTACGCTACCGGCTGAACTTGGCCGCGATGCTACACAATTTGTTCAGTCTGATGTCGGTCCTCTATTGTCGCCCTCCCCAGTACAACGCAATGCTTCTGTTCGCCCACGACGATGCACTAGTGTGGCTAGTACAAAGCACCGACCTACAAACAGCGCACCAGCAAGCAAGTTATCAAAAATTTTAAGCGCAACCGGAGTGTTAGGCTGGTTGTCCATGTAAACCAGGGCTGACCACTTGGTTGCCAGTTGAAAATAAGTTCCCACTGTTGTGGAACGAACTCGCTCATTCCGCCGAATTCACCCTCCCTAACATTGCTACCTAAATGCTTGCTTAACCTCGACCCTTTTGTACTCCAGTAATGCGGTTCCACTATCCCTCACACGCAACAACCTTTCCCGAGCTTATTCTAATTTATCATCCTTACTTCCAATAGGTAGCAAACACGGGGCTCCTGTACCCGAACTCCAAAGTTTTTGCCATTGTTTCCGACATTTCCGGATCCATACCACTTACTCCCTTCACCTACTTGCTAAATATTTCCGTTATTCCTAGTCAGCTGTTGACTGGAGTTATCGGAGCGAGAGCACACCACACGCATCACAGGCGAATGTACCCAAAGTTAGTTATGCGAACGGTGAGCATCAAGCCAAAACTTTGGACGCTGTCAATCCATCTTCCGATGGTGAAAATGAAACGAAACTGCACCCATCCCAAATGAAAGGTAAATCGTTTACGTAACGTAGTATGTCTTCTCTGTCTTGGGCTATAACTAACGACATAGTTGCTTCTCTTACATGAGTCAATCGTCGGTGTTTTGTAATCATATGGATACGGATTGTATCTAGAGTCTTTGAGATACCCATCCCTAATCTTGTACATACGCAATCACAATCGCGATACAACGGATATCTACACTTTTGGTACTTTGGTTAGTATTCACTTAGGTTTCTGTCTTAGAAATAACTGTTTTCTTGAATCGATTCCACTCGGACGCACCTTGCTGCCAGCAAGCAGCTCTTCTGACTGGCTCACGGGAATGAGACGGACAGGCCCGACTTACTAATCGGCTTGTTCTAGGGTCTCTACACCTTGTTCAACCCGTCTGCATCAGTGAACATTGCTCGTGATTTGATATCACCAGCAAAATCGCCTTTCATGATAATTCATTTCAGAATACTTTATCAACCATCTCTCGAAGCCACGCATAACTCCTTATAAGAGGTTGTATCTAAGACTTATTCCTTATTCTGTGACTAGGTACGCTCTTAACAGTATTGCTGATAACCTTGCTTGATGTTTCATCCACAGCGGATGTTCCCAACTTGAGCGGCAGCGTTGCCGCTCTGCGGGACCGTTTTAACGCAAAACCACAGGCTGGCACGAATCGAGCAGTTCGCTCAGTCGCTCAACAGAGGGTTTGCGCTGATCAATTTCGTTGGAATGAGGGTAACAAGACAAGCACAAGGGCACAAACTGATAGGAACTCACCTGTACTGGTGTCTGAAGCTCCCAGCCAACTCGAGGAAAACCCCAAACAGGTCTCCCCAGTATGTTTGATGATGATCGCTATATCGTAAACCCACTATTTGTGTCCTGTTCTCACGCGTTCTATGTTCTGTTCTTGGCATTACTTTGTTTCTGGAAATTTCCTAATCTTTGCTATGCGTTCTGCGCCTTCCGTATCCAGAGTATCGCTGTATGGTTTCCAACTGCCTCACAGGTCTCTATAGTCTTAAAGAAAAAAATAAAGGCATCAGCAATACGCCGGTACGCAATGCCGACGATTCACTGCGACGCAACCATCATCGGTCGCGCGCAGACTAAGGATACTGCTAGGGTCGCCCTGCCCCTACGCAGGCTCTAACCCGCGTCCTCGGATTGCAAAGCAAGTATGTGGTCCTTAAGGATACGGGCCGACTACGAGCTCGAGACGATCGCTTGGCTACATTAAACGCGATGGGCGTATGACGAATAAAATCAACTCAGATTTTCAAAGGCCAGGTCTGCATTTGTGTATCCACGGCGCCTCTAATTCCAGAGCGAGATTCCCTTTGGTCCAAGATTTGTGTTCACATTATCACAGGGGTCATTGTCTTCTGCGGAAGTGATACATGGCCTGTTCCAACTGTACAACTGATACGTATTCAAGTCCTTGACGGATCACTGCTCGTGTTGCGATTGACACCGATTTACCCCCTGTTGGGTACTAGTCGGTGGTAGTCACTAGCAAGATTAAGTTGGCTTGATCATGGTCTACTTACCGGATGTGATGTAATATTTGCGATGTAAGCAACCATTGGTTTGATAGCGAGAAATGTAGTCCCTAGCCGTTAGCTTGAATTCGGTTAGTTCGTCACATCCGTAGACTTGGGTCCGGACGATCCACGCTGTCTGACTCAATTCACTCAAGGTCACGGTATACAGCTGGCATTTTTGTATGTTTGCTACCATATTCTGTCTTTTGACACCATACGCGTGCCACATTGTCTATGAGGTAAGGTGGATTGTTGTGTAGAGCGATGAAAGCCATGAAGAGAGTTCCTCGCCTGCCGCTTTATCTTCACGATTGACCTCTGTGTTGGCGACGAGCTGGCGTCTTGACTGTGATGGTAGTATCAGATCAGAGTGAGCAGATGGATCAACCGAGCGAGCCCCAAACAGCCAATGGGAGGCGGACGTGACGGATTCGATTACTGGACTCGGATTGGACGATATTCGTGTGAGTGCTTCACCGTTTGTTTAACTGACGCAATGGATGAATCTCATTGACTCAGAAGGATCGTTAGTTATGGACTTGAACCTGCAATTTATATCGAGGAGTTTTGCTTGCTAAACATGCTTTACTTTTCGCTTAGCTGTCTTTGCCGAATAAGCGCTTGTCCCTCAGGACTAAGTTCTGCAACATTGATCAGCAAATTTCGCTTAGGACGGCCAGGTTTTATGGTACATTCTCGTTTCCTCTTATTGGTCCTCCTCAGTAAAGTCATCCCCAGTACAGTGTGCTGACGCATCGCTATTGATGATGCTGGTGGAGTTGATGCTAATGCTGCTGTTTATGGTGTTGTTGTGAATACCTTGTAAGATAGAATGTCTTTGTCCTACTTTCTGCTATGGTTTCGTTCTCATCACTTTTAGGTCTTCCCACCCCCCACCGCCATCTCGGAACCTGTTAACGAACCTGTCCGCATGTGCACAGCTGTCGCTCTTTTCGACTACACTGCCGGTGAGTCTTTCGTCAGCAACTTTTGCTTTCATCGAGTGCATTTTGTGACAGTTCCCTTAATTTTCCGCACTTCTTCATCGGTTCAAGGGCGAGGGGGTAACCCCAGACAACGCATTCCTCACCTGTTGATCGTTTTTCCGAGCTTGATTAAGAAATCGCATACGTTTCACCACCATGCGAGGTGGCATCTTCAGTGCAGTAATAGGCAGTGTGTATTGCTGCTTAGTGAATTGTCAGTCCGTCATGCACGGGCAGGTGACTTTTGAAGGTGGCGATTTCGATTTGTGCCACGTGATCTCTGCCCATTTGCTTCCACGGCTGAACCAGGTCTTGCGATTCGCCGGAGATCTTTCTTTCGGAGTTGATGGTACACGGCGTCAATGTCGATGCGCATGTTGATCGAATTATTAGAGGAGTACCATGCTTCTTGGAACTCTCTTCCTTTCTGTGTTGTTGTTTGAGCTAAAACCACTGTTTGGTCCCAATTGAAGCTATGTCCCTCCTCATCTACATGCGCTGAGACAAGAGACGATGCATAATGTTTTTTACAAGCCCTCTGATGTTCTTGTATTCTTGTGGATAATTTCCTTCCTGTCTGCCCCATCAACTCCGAAAGAAAGATCTCCGGCGAATCGCAAGACCTGGTTCAGCCGTGGAAGAAATAAGCAGAGATCACGTGGCACAAATCGAAATCGCCACCTTCAAAAGTCACCTGCCCGTGCATGACGGACTGACAATTCACCAAGCAGCAATACACACTGCCTATTACTGCACTGAAGATGCCACCTCGCATGGTGGTGAAACGTATGCGATTTCTTAATCAAGCTCGGAAAAACGATCAACAGAGGAGCAACCAAGCCGGGCTACCAGTGTTCCAAATTATTTCGAACGCATTCCTCGTTTAATCTACCACATGTCCGTCTCCTTGTTGGCTTAGGCAACCCTACTTCGGCTTTGGCAACCGGGTAGTATCTCGCCCTCTGACGAAACCAGGGACTTTGATGTGTTGTGCTGTGTTTTCTTTTACTATTTCTGTATCTTCTTTTGAGTTCCATGGTTTCCGATGGCTCAATGTCTATTCATAGACTGTTGCAAGATATATATATATATATATATATATATATATATATATATATATATATATATATATATATATGTACTCTTTGTTGCCGCTTTAGTGACCGTTTTACCGATCCACCTTTGTACTGTATTGTTTGTACTTGGTTGTAGGTGTGGAGGGGGGGTGAATGATGTTTAATACTGGAGCGCAGCAATGCGCATATATAGCGCCCCAATCCCTTAAGGCTGTGATAAACTTTACCCAACACCGCTTGTAGTCTATCAGTTGATACACTTCCTGAACAGCCCTCCACTTTCAACGGTAATTCTCTGCTAGACCGGGTGCATCTGTGTAAATTTAAAGTGACGTCTTATAGAGGGAACTGGGACAAAGATTGCAATTGTAAAGACATAGGCTTCATATCAGTCTAACTTGCCGGTTAAATTGTAGTCAAGCTTTGAAGTACCGATTGCGGCATGCAATTTCAATCGGCCACGGCTTTGAGCTAAATCTCAGCCATTTTTGTCTCGGAGTTAGACACATACTGGGTGCTATATGTTCCCAACACTGTCACTTTAAACGACGCAGGTAACGGTCACCTATTTGTCCTGTTTGGAAGTCGTATTTCAATGGCAATGGTAGTTGTAATCCTAACTTACCTCCCTAGCACGTATCGATCCACCGGCCTAGTTTAGAATGCATCATCATCATCATTATACCGCAATACATAAAGGTAAAGGAAAATAAATACAACAGTTGCATGCCAGCTGAGCTACCAGCAACGGATAGGCATCGTTCCGCTAAGCTACCAGCCGGCTACTAGGCAGAAAGAAAAATTATTATGTTATACCCTAGTAAATGAAATCGTGGGTGGAGGGGAGGCTCAAAGGGATGGGGAGGAACAAAGAAACTCACAGCAGGAACGCCACTGAGATCGGCTCCTTGCCATGTCAGCAAGTGTATCCAGCCAAACGTGTTCATCGTCTTTTGGACGCCAATCAGGGAGCTGTGACGCTCCAACCGAAGCCAGCTGCGAAGTGCGGGCCTTCATTTCTCGCGAGCAAGTCATCGCTTGACCACCCCTCCTCTTCTTCTATCCACACCCCCGGCGCGCAAACAACGCACGTCGTGGAAGCTGGTGGGTTGGCAGACGCAACATCTGGCCCAGCCATCGGTGCCTGGTGCGTGATATAACGGTGCTGAGCGATTCAGTTCCTTTTTCTGTGCCGTAAACAAGGCGTCGAACACGCTCGTTACTCACGCGGTGTTCCCACCAGATGTGAGCCAAACTGCGAAGGCACCGATGGTCGAACGTAACTAGCCTCTTTATGTCGGCCGATCTTAGGGGCCAGGTTTCGCAACCGTACAGTAATGTCGAACGTACCGCTGCATTGTACACTCTACCCTTCAGGGTGAGAGTAATGTCGCGCCGCCGCCATAGGTGGCGAATGTTAGCAAAAGCACTCCCAGCTTTTGCTATACGGTTCGTGATCTCGTCTTCGATCCCAAGGGCGCTGATACAACTTCCCAGGTAGTTAAATTTCCGAACGACTTCTAGCTGATCCTCACCAAGGGTCAGCGCAGGAGGCGATCCCTGCCAAGCTTGGAGGAGTGCTTTGCATTTCGATGGTGCAAAGCAAAGCCCGAAGCGGCTGACAGCCAGTGCTAATCTGTCCAGCGCGGATTGACACGTCTGGGAGCTGTCACAGATGAGGGCAATGTCGTCTGCATACTCTAAGTCAAGAAGTCGTTCTCCTGGGAGTTGGTCCACACCTTCCAAGTCATGTCCTGTAAATGCAATCTCCATGACTTCGTCAATAGCGAAGTTGAATAGGAAAGGTGACAGCGGGCATCCTTGTCTCACACCGCTGGAGATAGTGAAGACTGGCGACAGCTTGCCGTAAGCCCTCACTCTGCCCGTGCTACGCGTATATAATGCTTAGATAATATTTACATATTTCTCGGGCACACTTTTCCTGAGTAGACAATTCCAAAGGGCACATCGATCAACTGAATCGAAGGCACCTTTGATGTCGAGGAACACGACAACGGTGGGCCGCCAATAAGTTTGACGGTGCTCCAACAACTGACGCAAGGTGAAAATGTGGTCGATGCAGCCACGACCCCGACGAAACCCGGCTTGCTCCTCACGAATCTGGCTTTCATGAGCGCCAGTCAGTCTGTGAAGGATTACAGAGGCGAGTAGTTTGGAGGCGATGGAAATCAGACTGATTTCTCTATGCTTGCCTCATTCCCAACGCGAGCTTCCTTTGAAGATGGGAACAATAACGGAGCGGCTCCAGTTGGTTGGGACAGTCTCCTGCTCCCACAGTTTCACTAGTAATTCGTGTAAAGCATCAACAAGAGTAGAACCTCCGAATTTGAAGAGGGCTGGAGGAAGATCATCTGGTCCCGCGGCTTTGTTCAACTTCAACAGTCCGATCTCACGTTCGAATTGCGAGCGAGAGGGTGGATCCGAAGGGACAGCCCACGGAGCAGAGCGATCACTGGCCGGCGAAGAATCGAACAATTCTTGCCGATTAAATTGCTTTTCAAAATGCTCAGCCCAACGCTCCAAACGTTTTGACGAATTGTGGATAGGCTGTCCACTCTCGTCACGTATAGTTTCACTAACACCAGGTCTCCTACTGCCCGTTTCCCGTATCAGCCGGAATAACTTACGATGGTTGCCAAGGGCAGCGGTCACTTCCATCTCTGATGCACGAAGAGACAACCATGATTCGCGGTCTCTCTTCAGGATAGCACGGAGTCTTGCCCGGAGCTCTTTGCGAGTTTCATTATGTTTGCTTCCAGCCGGGATATGCCGGCGAGCGTCGATAAGTTCGAGAGACCGGGAAGAGACCCAATATCCATGTTGGCTATTAGACATACCACATGAGGATTGCCTGCTGCTAGTAAGGTCTGGTGAACATGTGACCAGTGACCATCAATTGTCTCCAGTGAGCGCTTGCTCAACTCGCATGTCGGCGTACTTCGATACGCATTCAGAACAGCTGGCTTTGTCAGTTGGCTGATGTCACTGCGCTCACAGCGTTGTCGTGGGCGTCCACCAAAACGCATCCGCATGTCGGCACATACAAGTGCATGATCGGTGTCCACATATGTGCTCCAAATCGAGCGACGGTTCTGGATGCAGGCTCTCCAGCGGTAACTGATAGCAATATGATCGATCTGCGTCCATGGCTGGTGGGCGCCAAGTCACCCTCCGGCGGGTGCTGTGTCGGAAGTTAGTGCCCACAAGAAATAAGCGGGCATCTTCACACAAATGAAGTGACCGCTCACCGTTATCATTACGGGAGCATACACCATGCTGACCGCCCAGATGTATTTCATCAGTGGACAACTTTCCAACTTTTGCTTTCAGATCCCCAGCCAGCACGACAGTGTCCGTGCTTCTTCTGTGGCGAAGGAGCTGGTCAGTTGGCGGTAGAAGTCGTTCTTTGCTGAATCATCGCTACAGTTTGTGGGCGCGTAAGCAGCGATGATGAATAGACACCTATTAGTCCCGCACGACTTCGAAGCTTTGAACGAGCCAGCCAGTCGAACCGCACACATCCGGCTACAGATTGGAATCCAGTCAACCAGAGCAGCTTCAGCCCGGGGACTCAGGGCAATGCCAGCACCGGCCAAGCCTGTGCTCGGAGCTGCATCTTCACCGGATAGGTGCAATGAGAAAATATTGCTTGCGTCACCTGAAGGGGATCGCAGAGTGAGCACAGAGCTCGAGTCTTGAAGGCGGGTCTCTGATAAACGGCTGATATCGATCAAGAGGGTCTCCAATGTTCGAGAAAGTGCTGCCTCTTGACCGATCTGAAGCAATGTGTGAACATTGACCCATGCCAATCTGAAGGAGGATCGAGGGCTCCAAATGGAAGCCGATGAACTGGAATGGACCGCTTGGTTGGACATGGGGTTGTCAACAGGAGAGGAATGGCACTCCGCGTTCACATGTAAGTTGAAATTAGAAGATTAATGCCTAGCAAAGCATGTTCGGGGATGGCCAAGAATCGGGGGTTGAAAACTTGGGGGATATAAGTAAAGTTGGAACGGGACGATAAAGCTGCAAAAGCGTAAGAGGGGGAATATGAAGACGGAAAGGCTTGAGCAGTAGCATCCGAACCCCTATCCACCCTGCTCGATGCCGCAGATAGGGCACCGTTGATTATCCTCTGCGGTGGCCAGAGCATCAAGAAATTGCTTGACTAATGATTCATAGTATTGCGTGGGCAGGAAACTGTCAGGTTGCCCAGGCCTAGACAGGAGAACGATTAGGGTACTCAACCAAAGCCTTTGATTCAAAAACCTTACCGCAAGGCAGCGGGTTTGGCATTGGACTACAAGGAGTCCGTTTTAAGGAATAAGGTGCCACCGTTATTCCAACCCCCAACCTGGAGGACCAGGAGGCTGAGCTTGTCTGGCCTCTAACCATTGACCAATCTGGTATGAGTGACTCTGAAGGTGCAAGAAAAGCACCACCCAGCATAGCTCAATGGATCGCTGAGGCACACAAACCATCGCACCACGGTACTTCCCAGCCTCATTGCGATGGAATGCGCGCCACGTGTGCTCCTTAAGCCCGCCCTATTCACTGCATCTACGTGACATTCGGTCTTCACCTTAGCTACCACCAATTTGACATTAAAACCCAGTAACTGAAATTACAATCTCCTTGCCTACCTCGGAAGTTTCGCTACTTTTCTACCGCATCACAAGCCTCTGTTTGCAAGCTCGCCTCTCTGCGATACACGTGTTGTGCTCTGCAATACCGGTTCTTGGCTCACTAGTCGGGTGGGCACGTACGTCCCAGATATGTGGCTGGTTTGTGTTGATACCTATCACTACCCCTTTCTTCTATTTTTGCTTCTCGTGTCTCATTTGTCCGCAAAACGAGCGTCATTCGGCTTCTTTTTGTTCATCCATCTTTCCTACCTCTTATCCACTATCTCGTTTTACAGTGGAAGATGACGAACTAACTTTTTCCACCGGTGAACTCATCACAGAGATTGAGAAGATAGACCCTGGCTGGTGGAAGGGAGTGTGTCGCGGGAAAATTGGCCTTCTCCCTTCCAATTACGTTCAGGAGCAGTAACTTTTCTCTCCATGCCACGGTTCCTCCTAACTTTGCTCAATGACAACAGGAACAATGCGATCCGCGCTTCGATGCCCTGACTTTGTGGTCATTTGTAGCTACCCTGTTTTGAATAACTTTTGCCTTATCTTTTAAATGCTTCTCTTCGATTACTGATCATTGTTCACTGTCTGCTTTAATGTTGTTGCTCATGAACCCCGTGCTCAGCCAATATACCTTTATTTCAAATAGTCTTCCTGAATACTTGCATCATTTTTGCTTAGCGAGGTTGTTTTCACGTCACATTGATCAGTCATGTCGTCTGTGATTCATATCCTCATTTGAACGACTGCGGCGATAAAACACAGGCACGAAAACTGCGGGGTGCTATTGTACGCAAACCGCATCCACAATCAGCCCCTCCGTATTGTTCTCCGGGGCTAAACTCCAATTCTCTTGATGGGGAGTTTCCCATCGACCTTGTTAGTCAGCTTGCTACTTAGGCTTTTGCATGTTTCTTTTTCTGATCGGTTCATCTATCTGTACGAACTCGTCTCTCACTACGCACCTATATAGCCTGGCAGTCCAATGAATGAACAGTTCGTCCGACTCTTCTATGATTTTGACTCGACCAGTTTATTAGCAACCAGTAATACATCCAGTTATGTTGATGCTTGTGCACAAAGAAGAAACTGGACGATACTCAAGACATCGAAGAGGGAAAACGATTCAGCCTATTCGAAAACAATAGCCAAAAGGTTATCTGGTAGGTCAGTCAGAACTCAGCAACCATGTGGGGAATGCTTTGTATCCGATGTTATCTCCCCCGTTGACGCATCCGATTCCAAGAACCTCATCCGGAAAGACGCTTCGCACCAACTGCACTCGGTCCTTAGGCAAATCTTTTCATGTACTTTCCCACCACTCACTGGTTGCTTTAGAGTTTCATCAGATTGCAAGCAATATTGGTTAACAGTGCTCAACGGGATATTTGGATATCAATCGTGGAAGGAACATGGGGCAGGCAGCGCACGTTGTTCCAGTTCAACAAACAGTCCAATGTGCGGTGCCGACCGGTCTGATGATAAACAGCAAGTGATAAACTCCAGTACTGCTCATTTGGAACCCTCGCTAAACAGAAGCGCTACTTCGCAGGGAACTTTGTCAACCTCCTCGTCTTCGGAGCACAGTAGCCGTTTTGTTATCTCCGTACGTTGACACCGATCACGGCGTACTATTACGTACGCCTAATATCTAACTGAATAATTAGTTGCACTTGACACGGGTTTGCACACGTCAATTTTTCCCAACTTATCGACATCTCTATACATGCGTGTCTTCTCTGTAAGTACTAGAGGGGGTCACTTTTATTCCAGGTGTCCTATCGTTTCCGTAGGTGCTGTAACTCGGTACGAACTCCTGTACCGGAAAGTTTTGCTGCTGTTGTAGTGGCTGTGACAGTCACATGATTTAATGCGGCCTCTATCACTGTCAGAGTGCCTCATGCTGAAGTTGATAATGCATTCATGATGCTTCTTCACCGCAGTTGGACTAAACTAACTTGCACTTAATCTGGGTCTTTTTAATCTGGATACAAGTCATTCGACTTTATTCGGTTTGGAAATCCGTGAGAATATTTGTAGCTCGGGATGCGGGTGTTTTGCGAGCTGGCTGATTTGGCTGCAAACGTTTCATCGTCAGGTTAGACGACATCATCAGTGCGCTTTATGCGGGCCACTTACAGATCCAAGTGATTATTGATCACTTGATTCGAACGTCAGGAGTCGATTGGTCCACGTGAGCTGACCGTGTAGTCAGCTCTTGCGTACTGTAGACTAGAGTCTGCCTCAATGACATTCTTTTGTCCTGTTGATCTGGGGCGGAGTATTGATTTGACCCTCAGTGCTTCATAGGCAGTATCTGTGTCTAAGTGTCTATTGATTGGGTTCTTACCCAAGTACCAAGCCTCGATGAATTCGCGTGCTTTTCGACTTTTCGCCCTGCCTATGATTCTGACATTCTCCAAATCAAATTGATGATTCTCGGCGTCCATATGTACCGACATCAGGGAGTTCTGGTCATGTCGGCGGATGGCTAGGCTATGCTCATGTAGCCAAGTGCCGAGCTTACTTCTTGTCTGGCCCACATAGTATTTGTTGCAATTTTTGCAGTGGATTTTGTAAATCATACCACTTGTTTCTTCTTTGCCAAAGCGGTCCTTACCATTGAAGAGCTTGTCTCGGATAGTTTCTGTCGACTTGTGAGCAACTCTGATTCCGAAAGGTAGTGGCAGTCTCGCCGCCATTTCAGAGACGCGGTTGATGGATGGTAGAATGATTGTCCTTTTATGCGTTTCTGATATTTGGCCATGCGTCGGTTGTTTTATTTATGTTAAACAACGTAGAATGAAATTCCTAGGATACCCATTTCGTGTAAACATTTCGAACAGATGATGTTCCTCAGCTGCGGGGTGCTGCAATGTGTCTGAGCTCTTTTAAACAGAGTTGTTACGCAGCTGCGCTTGTAGACTGTTGGAAGATTGTTGCGATAATTCAGGATTTAGCCTGTATACGTTGCTGTCCGATAAACTGTCTCCAGTTGTCCAGAAGCATGTCCTTTTACTAGCACATCCAAGAATGGTAGTTGACAATTACTCTCCTCTTCTTTAGTGAAATGCATACCAACAAACGTGTTGTTTATTAGCTGTTTCTTCCAGTTTCGAGCGCTTTAGGATGACAAAGGTATCGTCCACGTAGCATAGCCATATTTTAGGTTTTGCGACCGGGAGTGCGGTTTCTTCCAATGCTTGCATCACCGCTTCGGCCACTAGTCCAGATATCGGTGAATCCATTGGCGTACCTGTTATTTGTTTGTAGGTTTGGCCCTTGAAACTGAAGTGTATCGTGAAGCATAAATCCAACAACTCCATAATGTGGGTGGCATCTATTTTATTGTTCGTGTCTGGGGATCCGCGTTGTTCTAGTAGTGTTGCCATCGTTTGCCTCGCCAGATTGATGTTGATTGTAGTGAACAAACCTGTTACATCAGTGGAAACCATGATTTCGTCCTATTCAATTACTGTTTCTCTGAGCTTAGCCAAGAATTATTCTGCAGATTGTATAGAATGTTCCGAACCAGAGTGCTTCAATCTCTTCCAGAGTTCCTTGTAAATTTTGTAATTTGGAGCTCCAGGTAACGACACGATAGGGCGGAGGAGAACTCTACTTTTGTGAACTTTTGGCAGGCCATAGAATCGCGGTAGCACCGAATCCTCCGGTTTCATCTTACTGTGTTCTAATTTTGTAATCTGTCCCATTTGTTTCAGATTTTGTAGGGTGCGTTTCATTTTGCTTTCCAATCGTTTTGTGGGATTGTTGACCGGTAGGTAGGTGTTCACATCTTGGAGAAGTTCTTGCGCTTTCTTCGTATAATCGGCTTTATCCATTACAACAGTAAGACGTCCTTTATCAACCGGTAAGATAACGATATCTTTAGCTTTTCTAAGGTTTCTCAACGCCTTTTGTTCAGTTGTGTTGAACATGTCGGTTTCACTCTTATGCCTCAGTGCTGGAATGATACTGTGCCTGATCGTATGTTGGGCGTCAGCTGTGATGTTGCATAAGCTCACTGTTATCTCACGCTCTCCGAGAAACTTGATGGGATTGGAGTCTTTGTAGTTGAATTTCATGCCACGAACAACTAATTCTTTCTCTACGTCCGACAGGGTTCATTTGGATAAATTCCCAATCAATGCATCATATTGATTCACTGCTTTAGCTTTTGAAATTCTCTAGTTTCTTTTCCAGTTTCTGCTTTGTGTGGAGTTTGGTGTTGTGCGTTTTGATGGATATCGCCTTTTCAAACTCTAGTCAATTCTGTGCCGAGGTTGGATAAGCATAACTCCTTTTGGAAGTCAATCCTTCGGAGATCTTTTTGACTTCGGTTATGTGCGTCGATGATCAGCCTACGTAACGTGCGTCGTCCGTGTTCTTCGATGAGTTTCCAGGCCAAAGGATTGTTTATTGGTAGACGGTACTTTATACTTGGCGGCAGAACTTGTCTTCTCAAGCATTCATGAAGGAAGTAGAGTTGCTCCTGAGTGGAAGATAACCGGCTGGCATAGGTCTCCCATTGACAAGCAGACTTGTGCTCGTCGCGCCCGAATTCATTAGAAATCCGTGAGAATGCGGATGAGGATATGCGGGTGTTCTCCGAGCTGGCTGATTTGGCTGCAAACGTTTCATCGTCAGGCTAGACGACATCATCGGTACGATTTATGCGGGCCGCTTACAGATCCAAGTGATTATTGATCACTTGATTCGAACGTCAGGAGTCGATTGGTCCACGTGAGCTGACCGTGTAGTCAGCTCTTGCGTACTGTAGACTAGAGTCAACCTCAATGACGTTCCTTTGTCCTGTTGATCTGGGGCGGTTTGTTCAATAGTGTTATTCTGCTAAATATTCTGTGTCAGTATTGCGTGTTTATCTCCCCTCACCTTCTGTGTTGTTTGATATCCCCGGTGTGACTGCGCTAGGTTTGCATGTTGACAATATGCTTACCTGTCTATTACCCACCACCTCGTCCATACCGGCTGCAGGAGACGGTTGGTCGGGGCTGTACGGGACAGGATTCACGGTCCTCGTGGTCGTGCTAGGCTCAAAGAGTGGTTCCATCCAGTGTGGACCTGACTACGGTCTAGTCACCGCTTTGGCTACTCTGATACGCGTGATTCCTTACGTAGCTAGACAAGAATGTTGCTTCTGTGCATGTTGAAGAGGTGTTGGCCAGCTCCGTTGATGAAACGTGACCCATTCGCATGCCTCCCCATCTTATGTCTTCGGGTTTACATTGGATATGAGGTGTGTGGATGGAGCTGTGCGTAGTGCAGCGCGAACGACCCATGATCCCTCTGTAGGTGCACACATCCCGTGGCTTTCCTATGGAAACCACAGTGACAGGCACATCCGGAACCAGATGTCGCCAACCATCGCTGTCAGTACGATAACACTCGGTTCCGAGAAGGCCTCTAGGGATATTCCTCTCCTGTAGGCAACCGATTTAAACATGTATATAATACGCGATGAAATCGATACCCTAATTTTGATAATTCGAATAAAGTAAATGAGGTACCCATAGAATTCATCTGTGCTTGTCTCAGAATGATAGTTGATAAGAACGTTTTCCCAATAAATACGCTATTTTGAAGTCCTTTTGAAGCATACTGTAACAAGGGGTATCCGCAGCTCCGTAGCTTAGGAGTAAAGGATTCCGCTGCCGGACTCGTCACAGCTCTGCTATCTCCACTTGACCAGTGCAAACAGGTATTGGGGCGCGGTGTTGAGAGCGAACAACGGGTAGTACATATCTGCTTCAAACCAAAATACACTGCTCGCTAGGTCACCACATTCACCGAAACGCTGTTGAGCTTGTATTATTGTTTCTGTGATCAAATACATTACCCTCACTGGGTGCAAAGTCGCTTGCTGACTAATCCGACAATGCGTGGACATTGAAAAGCCCCATTTGTGATGGGGGCTTTGTATTGAGGGATAGACTGTCTTTCCCATGATTGATGAAGTTAGCAGTAATCCCCTTCCTGGTAACATGAGAGGGGGGGTGAATTTATTGTAACGGAGGGCAAACATAAAACTGCAACGAATACGGGTGTTGGGTCCTTGTGGACAAATGATACTCTGTGGTCTTACGTTTCTTGAGGTGATCTGTTAAAGGATTCTCATCTCCCTGTTCTAACTAAACCATCCGACTCACAAGACTATTGGTTATTTGGCGTTATACTATATACCCTTTGGCTGGACGTTGTTTGCAATTCACTAGGAAGCAAGTCCAGCCGAACAGTGCGAAGAAGTATCCAAGCGGTACTTCCTTGAGTCCAGCTATGCGCAATTTTGGTTTGTCCGTATATATTTCGATTGCTTTATGGTATACATTACTGGCCCTAGGCTGCAGAAAATCTGCGGACGACGAGCTTGCTGTCCAGGCATGAGTCAACCCTCAGCGCCCCTCCTTAACGCCACTCAAACTGAACCCGCAATACGCAGACTGTTACCTCGTGACTTAACCAATGAGTAAGTGGTCAGCAATCCGAAATTGTGGGAAGCATGCTAAAAATTTGTTTAGTCTCCGCTTTAGATGACGATTCGTGTCACGGATTTAACTAATGCGTGGAATCCCCGGGTCGGTTCAGAGGTCCAAGCCGGATATGAACTGCGGTGCTATTCCGCAAAGAATTAGGACATTACCTACAAGACAAACCTCAACATTATTCATTCCACCAAAAAATACACCGCAATTGCTCAGTTAAAATACAATTTACCACCAAGTGGGTCGTAGTCGTAATAAGAGGTAACCGAATTTGTTCTCAACATGACACTAAGTAGCAGTACTCATACCTGACGTAATCATCAAAAGACAGATGACGCGGTCTAGTGATGGATTTTTATGCAGCTGCCTCCGTTGTGTTCTGTACGCGGAACATGTATACTTCCCCAGAGCTGCTAGGTGGGTTCGCGAATCAGGATATAATGAGCAGACCCATCGAAAAGCCTGACACTTCCGCTGGCAACCATTGGATTAGTCACATTAAATATTTGTGATCTCATGTGACATGGTGCGATCGAAAGACCATGGCTTAACTTGTATTAACAACATATATCAGCTCCTCGATTAAAATGTTGCGATGCTTTTACTCTTTTCCGTCAATTGTCTGTCGGTTTTGATTTATTGTCATTATGTATCTAATATCATGGTTCTCTGAATCCTTGGTTGGGTCCATTGCACTTTGGAGTCCGCGTCCTAGTAAATCAAGATGAACGGAAACGCAGACGAGTCATACCTATTTTATGTCTCGGCTTTGTATTTACATAGGTAGTGGAAGTTAACACGATTAATGAAGCTCTTTTGTGCTTAATTCTGTACAAACATAAACATATATAAATCAAAAATGCTAGTGAGTTAAATTTCGAAGAACCGACATCAAGACTGGGTAATATCACTATTTACATTTTACGGCCTTTCGTCAAGTTTGACTCGGGGTTAACTGCTGTCTAAGCTTTTCCCGACCTTCCTTCGTAGGCCACGTAGAACAGATCCAGTCGATGAGCTCCCCCGCGCAACTGCCATCCTTTGTTTCCGCTCTCAAGTGGCGTGCAATTTGATTGTTCCATTTGTAAATAAACCATTGCTCCAAGTCACTCAGAGGTACGTCGTCGAACACATTGGGCGGAAGGATGGCGTTTGTGTGCTGCTGTCTGATTTTCTCCCACACCTAAATTAAAGTGGTTATAATACGAGAAAGCCTTTTAGTATATTCTTGTATCGTAACACGTATACGACAATAACTCCTCGCAATAGTAACATTGGTGTCATAGATCGCAACTAGATCCAACGGTTGATAATATTCATATGCACCTACATAGATTCGTTACCATTCCTGCGTGTTTGACGGTTCCCTAATCGCACATAGCCTGACTAGGGACCGAAGAATGATGAACACGTTTAGTTGGATACACTAGCTGACATTGCGAAGAGTCTACCTCGGTGACGTTTGTGTTGTGAGTCTCTTTGTCTCTCCTCTTCCCTTTAGCTTCCCCCTCCACCAATCATCAACAATGTGGTGTTACCATTATGTTACCTTTTTACAGCTTTTAAGTCTACATTGCTTAATGTCTTACCTTTTTGTATTGCGGCACATTAGCTGAGACGTGTTTCTCACCCTCGGCTAACGTGTATTGATAATGTTGAATCGCGCATGGTAGTAATGCTTGTGTTGTTTCCTCCTTCATGCCCTGGTTCACATGATCGTCAGTCTTGATATCCCATTTTGCCACGCTACTTACTAGTAGTCCGAATATACTCAAATTGTCACATTTGGCATTACGCTATAGGGAAGCTCTCGACTTGGGCCCCGTGCACTTCTCTTCTAACCTAGGAAGATGAACCGGTCACTTGAACTAGATGCTGAACCATCTCAGTGGACTCGCTGGAATTCTGTTAAAAAATTATTTTCTGGTCCGCTCATGCATTTACGCTCCATTATTCGGACTAGGCAACACGATCGGCATGCGATACCCAACTTATCCACTGCAAACGAGTTTCCTACATTGCTCGCTGTTAATTTCAATAACAAGGAAAAAGTCTTGCTTCAGACCTGATGATATGGTGTTTTCCAGCAGTAGGTATAATTTCAAGGGGTATTTTTACGTCATTTGCTCGACGATAACTCGTCTGTCATCGGTTCTTGCCGCTTGTGGGCAGTGGGGCGCTTTTAAGCCTCTGGCTGTGCGCCCGTGGTACTTTCACTATACTGTGAATGTATACATGATAGAAAGCCTCATCCAAACGGAATAGATCCTTTATATGAAGAACGGACCTCCGTTTCCACTGAATTGCGCATCGGTCACTGTTCCAGCCACAACTCCGCCTGCGCAATGTCTTAAATCAAGCCCAAGTGACCGTGTAATAGGACATTTTCAACGGCAAGTAAAGATTTCAATCTGCCCTGAGGAGCAAAATCATTTACTTGAGTTATTTGGAAATCAGTGTTTCATAGTCTTCACTGCCCATCAATTTTTCGGCTTTTCCGAACACATCAATAAGTAACAAGTCTTCTTCCAGGTGCTAGAAAGGAGCCTAAGTGGAGAGATCTCACAACTTCCTCATTATAAACGATATATCGATGATATTCTCGTGTTCGGTTCTTCAACACTGCAAGCCGAACGCTTGCTGTACCAGCTTAATAGCATCCATGTTAACTTAAAAGTTTCTCTTGAATTCGTGATGTATGACCGTCGGCTGTACCTTGACATTCTCATCAGCCGAAGGGATACCGGGCTTATGAAACGGTTCGTTTACGGGAGACTAACATGATCTAGTCGATATCTAAAATTTACCAGTTTCACACCGATGGGCCACAAAGGTACACTGATGAAAACCTTATTCACACGTGCCAGGCGTATTTGTTCGAGCGATTGTCTGGCTGAGGAAATAGAGACAATAACCATAACGCTCATGGAAAACGGTTACCCTAACCTATTCATCGAGAAGTATAACCAGGCCAGAACGATGAAGGAAACGGTGTTGATAGCACCTATGAAAAAGATGTACTTCGAGTTCCCATTTAAGGGCAACGGCGCCACAAGTACAATCAAGCCATTAGTATCTACCATTCAGAGAACCTACTGCGCAACAGATGCTACAGTAATCAACAGAACCCGGACACTCGCTACCTTCAGTTAGGCTAGAGGAACCCATCGGCGCGAAATCACCCTGTTTACCAGTTTGAGTGTAACCGAGGATTCAGTTACATAGGCAGGACCGACAGGGATTAGAATTCCAGGGTGAAGAAGCATCTGCCGATCTGGGTTCATCGTGAGGTTAATCAACGAAAAGTCAGCCAACCCTCGCTCAATATTTCGTGTGCACGCAAGCCGTCAGCGTCATTAATAGGCAGGCATAATTTTGTGACCCGTCATCGGGTTGACCCCGGCTCCGCGTTTCGGATATTATTACATTAGCCTAATCCTTCCTGCGGTTAGCCCAGGCCGTGGCGGTTAGCCAGCTAAGACCTGTTCTGTGTGTGCAAAGACAATCAGTTGTTGACTTTCGGTTGCCCTGATCCTAGGACCGTCGCCCCAGTTCACCTCACCGTATTTGATTGGTTTGGTAGCACTCTTTGAACGGTATAGAAAAGCTTCCCAGGTTTGTATAGAACGCTATTCTCAGATGAAGCAGGAGATATGTCTTTTCGATAGCATTTTTTAGACTTCGAGACAAAGTATCGGCAGTGGAATTGCTCTAATATAGTATGCACCTGAAGATCTCTGTAGGGATCATTCGTACGTAATGATTTTCATTTTCGTTCTTCAGTGTGTTTTCTATTTGTTTGGGTACCTATTTCCTTTCAGGAGATTCCTGACTTTGAATTTCCTCGTTGAAGATGTTCAGTTCACACTAGTTGTGCACAGTAAAAGCGAGTAATTGGTTTACTTCACATTACAATCACAGCGTTGATGTATTTTATGGTACCCTTGGCTAAGAAATGTAGTCAGCCTCCAGACTCGCGCTCACAGGTGAGTTAAAGATCCAATATGGTATCATTTAACGGCTGCTCGAGTCCACATTTATAAACCATGAGAATGTCAACCTAGTCGACATTCAGTTTGGGTTCGTCGACAGGTACATTTGCCTGTAGATTTATCTGCTTTGTTATATAGTTCACTAGTCTATTTGAGCCCAGTTTGGCACTTAATCCGTGCGTTTGATGAGACCATGCATGGAAATCCTTTTCATTCAGTTCCCGCAACTCTTTAGTTTCTTCCCTGCCCTGTAGCGCATTTAGCCACTGACTGACACTTGCCACCTGTTATTTACTTTTTATCCTTCTAAGCCAGGAACGGCAATCCGATGTAGGTCACTGCTGGTGCCGTGTTTCTTCATCATTATTCTCCTAGAAAAGAAATCACCAGTTCTACCACTATTTCTGTTAGGAGCTCTCTTTTGTAAGCATAATGGCATTTCGGATGCCGATCCCTTCAGGACCTACCCGATAATGTGTACGCACTGTCCGCAGTTCCATTACCAATGAGGACCAAATCGAAATGTCTAGTGGCATTACTGCACCGCTCACTTTTTGTAGCCATTCGAGATGAGCTCGTATTGGACTGGTATGTGAGAACCTCAGTGTATCGCACTCCTTTAGGTCAGAGCTTTCGGCCACGGCCAAGTGCACTATGCGTTGGCGCAAGGAACAGGACAAGTACAGTTTGCATACATCGAACTCTTTCCATTGAGAACTGATCCAGCAACAGCTATTGGTGTTCCAACGCACCAGACATGAATCTACCGGCAAAAGCTCTGCTTCGTCCGGGGGGCTGATAGATTCCAACACCGTTCCAATGAGGAAATGTCTAAAAATGAGCAGGGAAATATGCAGCTACATCGTTGATGAAACAGTTACGTGGCGGAAAAGTGGATATGTCACGAAGAAAAAGTCAACTGCTTAGCAATTTCCGTACTTAAAAAGTAAAACCAAGAAGTGGGTATCTCAAGCACACTAAAGCTTATCGGTGGAAACGCCATGATTTGCACACCTGCACACAGTATGTAGACGTTAGACTTTGTCCCAGTTAAATTATGTAATACAGATGGTGTAATGCTTCATTCCGAAATCTGCTAACCTAGGAGTGGAGATGATAGTATGCGACGGACGTGCAACGGCTCGGATAAACGAGTGAAGAAAAGCTTATGGTGACATTTTACATGACCATAATGCGTATCCAACTTTAAGTCGTGGCCTCTCCATGAAGTGATTAGGATCTCTGTGGATCTGATTCACCAAGGAAATGTCACCTCGTAGACGTGGAGAAAGCTATTAGTTGCCCTCCGTTGTGGATTCTCAAGGGCAGTGAGGTCATCTTTTCACCGTGTCATATCTGGAATGGCATATTCCAGTTGTGGTCTCAGGTAAGCGTTGAGCGTTTGCGAAAAGAAGGTAGCGATCAGACCGGCCAACTGCCCTCTGCAGTAGGCCCAAGTGTTTGCTTGCTTTTTTCACTGCTCTCAGTCTGATTTCAGCATCCGACATTGTCCTGAACGATTGCCCCAAGACCACTTTCAAGTGAAGCGCACTGTACAACCTGTTCTGGTAGTCGATCTACGTAGATGCTCTGGTGGCGTATTCCAATTATTTTGCACTGTACAAGGTCAAACTCATGCATGTTCCGAACCGACCACGCGTAACCCCTGTCGCGATCACATTGCGACGCTATGGGATCGTTTACCCTCTTGATTGGTTGCCAAATCTAGAGATCATCTGCGGAGTATTAAGTTTGAGATCAGCACTCTAATGAACTCATTTATGAATAGTAGGAATAGTTGTGGTCCTAGTACCGAACCTTGATGGTGTTGTAACATGCCTTCCCTCTGCACTACCAACCCAGCCGGAGACAAAACAAAACACCGAAGTGTATTAGGCACAGAACACGGTTAATTTTACAGGTCACAATCCACCATCTCCTGTTTTAACTTTCTGAGCTGACTCAAGCCACTTGCCCTGGACAGATTTCAAACAGGTTTGCGGTTTGCACTGGCCAGATATTATCGCGCCCTGTCACGTAGCAACGCGTGTGATGATGGCGGTCTGATTTCATCAGCTTCCGGCGTGACTTAGCCATGCTACCGTCGGTCGTGTAGCAACCCGTGTGATACAGACAGACGTCTCGAAATCGTGTCACGTTCTTAGGGTGCGGCCTGCTAGAGTGCACCATCGGAATCAGCCGTTTTGCCTCCGTGACACCTCCGAATTGAAACTGCTTCCCCACCATGCATGCTTGCCTCCATTCAGACTCTTTTGTCTTGACATCAATCAGTTGCCTTGGTGGTTTTCTTCTCCTCCTGTTCGGTCTTCGTTGTATGTTGTCTGCGGGCCCTTGAATCTGCCGTGGTTCGGCCTCCGCTGATCTGCGTGCCTGATCCATTTTTTGTTTTCAACCGTTACTTCGCAACTGACTCCATTTCTGCCCCTCATCAATTCTGTCGACCACCTCGTTGGTCGACGGAAATCTTTTACGTACTTCATGTCAACAATCTTGGAATGATTGACCCGGTCTGCTCGATTTTTCTTTGTTTGCCACCGTCTCATCCTTGGACTGTGACTGAACCCATCGGCTCGGAAATAATGCTAGTAACACACAATAGTTTGACCACGAAAGCTGACTTGACAGTTCAACTGACCAAGCAACTTTAACATGCCTCCTGACGTATTCTGTACTGTTTGGCACGTTTGTTTCAGTGACGGACGCCTGAGCGTGCACCACGTATCACTCGAAATCAGGGTTGTATCTGAAGCGGTACCCAGCTGCAACTTGAATTGAATGCCATTGATTTCCACGGTTGGTTACTTACGTCTAATGAGCCCATCAACCTTGGAAGTGGTTGTGACTGATCTGATCATATTATGACATCTGGACGGTTTAGCATTATTTCGCTTCTTCCTGGCCATAATGGGACGACTTGCCAGGCAACACGACTCTTTGTGCCCCCGTTTATCACAGCAATTGCAGGCTTGATTTCTGAACTGGCAGTTCCGGCCAAAGTGCCATCCTCTACAAAACAAACAATGGGAGGTTTGGAATGTGTTGGACTCACGTGCGTTGTTGCATTTCGGCGAGTCTGGTTGACTGCACAAATGAGGTCATGCTCGTTCGTATTGGACAAATGCTGGATCATTGATGTACCATGCTTCAGGTTCGTCATTCTCTGGCACTCACCGGTCACTTGCTACAATGTGATTTCAGGATGCTGTACAATTTCGCTCAGTATTCTTGTTCGTATGTCTGCATTGGCTGCTTGTAGGCCGCAAATGTAAATGAGGCACTTGTACTGGTCAACGGTCCTTTTGTGGAACTGGGAACGTTCGCACTCGCGATTTACACGGCTCGAGTAGGTGACCCAATCTTCGTTTTCTTTCTTGGCTATCGTGAGGCACTTGTACTGGATGTTGAACAGGGATGTTTGCTCATAAAAATTTTTGACAGGACTGATACAACTTCGTCAAATGATAGATCAATGCTCTTCTTTGGCACGACGCAATTTGCAAACTTTTCATGTTCATCCGCACCCAGATTCCGGAGCATCAGGCGCATTTTCTTCTCTTCTGGTACATTTTCGAAGTCAACACGAAACATGTCTTCATACTTGTGGAACCAAGAAGCGAATGTCACGCCAGTATCCGCATCATATTAGAAATCACTGATCTGCTGAGTCAGGGTTTCTGGAAAGGGAACACCTTCACTTGTCCCTAACACTGGGTTGGACTGTATCGGCAGCCTCTGCGTCAACATCTCAATTAGCTTGGCTTGCTGCTGCAAATGTGCCTGCAATTGTTTGAAGCTGGCTGCCATTTCTGGGTTCGATTGAAACTTGCGTCGCCACTGTTGTAACGCTGCCCTCCCTCTGCTCTCTGCATTACCAACCCAGCCGGAGACAAAACAAAACACCGAAGTGTATTAGGCACAGAACACGGTTAATTTTACAGGTCAAAATCTATCATCTCCTATTTTAACTTTCTGAGCTGACTCAAGCCACTTGCCCTGGACAGATTTCAAACATGCTTGCGGTCTGCGCTGGCCAGCTATTATCGCGCCCTGTCACGTAGCAACGTGTGTGATGATGGCGGTCTGATTTCATCAGCTTCCGGCGCGACTTAGCCATGCTATCGTCGGTCGTGGAGCAACCCGTGTCATGCAGACAGACGTCTCGAAATCGTGTCACGTTCTTAGGGTGCGGCCTGCTATAGCACACCATCGTAATCAGCCGTTTCGCCTCCGTGACAGATGGACGCCACAGTGAAACTCTATCGAGTCGGACGGAGCACTAAGAACTCGCACATTCAAGCGTCCAAGAAGTAGAAATGTATGTATGCAGTCCAGGACTGGGTCAACGATTCCACAGCTCTGAAGCTTGAAAAGAAGAATGTGGTTACCTTGGTGATCAAATGCCTTGGATAAATTAAGGTAGGCAGCTTCAACGTTTGCAGCATCGACACATTCCGTGCAGCTGGCACGGGCTACCGTGAATGAGCATGAGCAGTTTCGGCAGAAACCGTGCTACACCTACACGATGGCATTGCATCCTTCCAAATATCTCATGAGGACTTTGGTAATGGCAGGTTCCATGAATTTAGAAAGCACATGAAGAGGAGTAATCGAGTGGTATATTTCGGGCGCAGCACGACTGCCCCTCTTGTAAGTGCGAATGACTATTCCAAGCCTCCACCTAGTTGGAACTCGCGTGCCGTCGAGATAACGGTTCAGCAAGCTCGTGGCAGCCGTCTTCATTTACTTGGTGCGTATTTTGTTCGTACCAGGGGAACTGTACTCGCGTAGGGATGTCTGTTGCTTCAGCACATTTTTAGCCGTGAAGAAGATGTGGCTAAGTTCTGGTGGTGACGTGATCTATGAAACTGCTATGCGATGGCGAAGCTTTTAGGGAAGTACAAGGGAATCGATGGCTAAGAGCGCTAGCTGCTTTTGTTGCCGTTTGCGCTTATCTACAGGCGGTGTTTACAGCAGGGATGGCCCACTGCACTTCAAGGAATTTATCAACATGCTTGTTGAGTAGATATGGTTTGGAGCAGTACCTCTGCCAAATCCTGTTGGTGTTTCGGTTTGTCCATGTGGGTCAGGTTGATGCAGTGGTTTCGCTCGGTTATGTAGGCACTCCCGTTTTCGGCATTAAAATTGGCTTTGTATACTTTGCAATGTGAATCTCAAGTTCTTTCGTTTCCGTATGCCACTCCGCAGGGCGGACTTTACTTTTTGAGCTAGGGACTTTAATCTCTGATGAGTTTGTTAGTAACATACTGAACTGGTTCACAAATTCTCCCCAAGCAACATCGGGTCGTTCAGCTAGAAACGACCAATCGGTGATCTTGATGAGGTTGGATAGAATGCTATGATGCGCTGCGATACCGACTTCTTGGATTTCCTCGTTGAACTGTTCTACATAACAAACCTAGTGGAAAAGCAGTTCTGTATGATCATAACGCCCCAGGGGACTATTCACTGTCATTGTGTCAACCGTAAGTTCGTTATTGGTAAAGATTAGGTCCAAAATGGCCGGTTTGTTCCCCATTATGAATAGTGAAAGTAACATGATTATTAAGTGTTCGCTTGCGACTAGTTCTTGCAGACCGCCTAAATTGTTCACCAAGGGAGGCCGAAAACTCTAAAGCGTGTAAGTTGAAGTCTCCGAAAGGCGAACGTGGCTGTTAGGCTATGCCAGAATGGTTTTCAGAGCAGAAGCTAGACTTCTGTCCGCTTTTAGAGTGGACAACAGAAGGCGTTATACGAAAGCAATAAACATATGTCGCAATGTCTTAATTGCAGGTGACGCCAAAGCTAGTCAT